CTATCACCATCCCCGATCTTGCCTCCTAACGGGGATCGGGTTTTCCCAACCCTAAAAATTCCTCGATCCCAACAAAAAGAAAAAAAAAAATAGTATCCAAAGTTCTAATCTTCTCAAGACAATTCTGCATATGCTGGTTTACTTCAGCTGTGAGACTTGCTCCTGCCACAAGCTTGTACTGTTCAAATTTCAATTCGTCACATTTCAAAGTTGCATTTTTACAGGCCTTGATACTTCCTATATACAAAAAGAAAAAGATTTTTAAGAAAAAGAACTCATTTTTTTAGCAGTAGAATACATAATCAGATAAGCATTATTGGATGAGATGCCATCATTTTGATGCTAATGAGATGCTATTTTAAAAGTAATCCATTGTAATCAAATTCCCACAAAGGTTACTTCATTGAAATTCTTATATACATTATTTTTCTTATAATTCTTCAATGGAGTGTGACATTTCTCAGACTTATTTTCTGTAAAATTAAAGATAGTCATAACCAATAACCAGCCTGGAATCCACAAAATTGCAACATATGAATCAGATTCAGTACCAATTACAATACAATACAAAACAAATCTATTGTAATTATCTAAATAAATCATACATCAACAAAAGATCATCAATAACTTACACAATAGATCAACAAAATCATCAACAACATCATACACAACAGATCAAAAAAATAGAGATGGTAAGATCTGAGAAGTACAACTCAAAAAGACAAATCAGAGAGATGATGTTGGCGGTGAGGCAGCTAGCTTAATGATCGGAGACAGCGACGTTGATAGTAGTAAAGAGAAAGGCGTCGAAGTCGTCGTGATGTTCTTGAGGAGGGAGATCGGTGAGATCGGAAACCCTAACAGCTTTCTCTAGCTGAAGACAACGGGGGAAGAGGGAGATTGGTGGTGATGAGAGGAGGGAGAGGAGGACAGCGGAGGAGCCATTGCCGCTGCCGCTGCCGACGCCGTGAAGAGCACCTACAGCAGAGAGAGAGAGGGAGAGAGGAGAAAAGAGAAGTGAGTATGAGTGTGAGTGGGAGAGAGGCTGACTCAAATAACCCTAAACATATATATATATATATATATATGGGGAATATTGGGGGAATTACTAGGGGATTATTCAGGGCAGAGACGGGGCGAGGCCGAGGCTGGGGGAACCTATCCCCGTCCTCGGCCCGAAAATCGTCAGGGATTCAATTTTCAATACCATCCTCGGCCCTATGGGGGCTAATTTTCAAAAAAGAACCTGTTCTAATCGGGGTCGAGGGGTCGGGTCCCCGTCGAGTCAGGTTTAAATTGCTATCTCTAGTCTCGACCCCTCAAGCCATGGGTCGACAAATTTCTCTTGCTATATCAGCAATGTGGTCTCTAGGCGCTATGTTTGGTGCTAATTGAGCCACTATTTGGGGAGCAAACACTGGGTTTAGAGGAACCACTTGTGCTTGGAGTCCCATTGGTCCAGGCAAAGGCATATTTGGGATTAGTTGTCCCTATTGTGCCTGATAAGCCTGAGGATATGGCTGCCTCCTTTGGTCAGGTGCCTAGCCTACAAAGGTACTGCAAAAAAAACCACTGGAGAGGGAACATGCATTGTTTCTCTTCCAATTGCCTAAGGATATGACTGACTCCTTTGGGCAGGTGCCTGGCCTACAAAAAGTACTGCAAAAGGAACAGCTGGAGGGGGAACATGCATTGTTTTTCTTCCAATTGCAAGAATCCCATCCAACCCCCCAGGTGTAGCTTCGAACATGGGATTAGTATACGTTCTGCCATTCCCATGTGTTGATCCTACTCCACCAATATTTATGGATTCGCTAGTAGGTATAAATATAAACATGTTTTGGCCTGTTGGCATTCTAGGAAGGGGTTCATACCATGACTAAGGCACTGGTACTAGTCTTTCAGGTGTTTGATTACTGGTTTGACCATTGTTTTGCCCATTATTTTATATAGGCTGTCTATTGCGAGCCAATTGCTGCTGAAGCAAATTTATGTTTTCTCCCACTTGTCTAATGATGGTTGGTTGATATGTATGCATTCGATCCAAAAAGGTTACTGTCCACCTTTCCATTGTATACATTAACTGTTGTCCCATAATATCCACTAAACCTCCCCATTAACTGGTTGTGTGGATGAGATAGTCGAAGGGTCATCTTCTTGGCCTCGCCTAATATTTTATACTTGGGTTGTATACCCTAAAGTAATGGTTTCTTCAACCAACTAAGGAGGATTGTTTGAAGCAGGCACATTTTCAGGATGTGGCTCAACATTCACTCAATGTTAGCTCCTTCTACACCTTCTTCGAGGTGGTCATTTTCTCATCTTACTCGACGTCTAGCCATTTTTTAGGTCCTACTGGGCGTGCCAAAAAATATATGTTGGCTTTTTTGACTTTCAAAAGTTAATGATGTAATTTTAAGCATGCCATTAACGATCAATAAGTCCTTACAGAAATTTTAATTGTCAACTAGTTATCAAATGAGTTTGTTGAAGTTCTTTCAGCCTCAATAAAGAGATTTTTACTGGTGGCTTTGCGCAGGTGAGAAAATTAAAGATATTGAAAATAATAATAGATAAAAACAGTTTTATGAACTAAATTTCATTAAATAATAAGAACTTACAATGATACCTTTGCACTTCCACAGTTTCAAAAGGTTTTGTAGCAATAGACTACTTGGAACTATTCCTAAGAATTGAAGTGCAGTACAGGAATTGAAAATGTAAAAACTGGAAAGAAAAATATAAAGTAAATAATTGGTTTTTGGATCTGAATCTGGGGTCCATCTTCTATTAGCCTTCTCTTCTATTTATACCCTCTAATGGTAACCGTTGAAGTGGTCTTCTAACCATCGAAATGCCCTTCCACAATCACTAGTCATGGCCTTGAATAGTTTGCTTCCACTGCGCCATTCTTGCAGTTAGACTTCCCTCATAAATTTGAATTTGAATTGTGAGTAACCGTTGGGCCACATCACCTTGCGCCTTCTAACTGCCCCAATGCTGCACAGATTCATTGTTAATAATATAAACTGTCACGTGTCTATTGCTAACTGGAGACTTGTATTGATTCTCCAGATTATCCTTTACAAGCCACATGTTAAGTTGCGATTGGCTTATACAAAATATGTAGTTAACACACCCATTATACAAATTATAAATGTCTAAAACATCTAAAATTATGTTACATCATCGATTAATATACTAATTGATATATCAATTAATACTTATAACATTAATCAGTTAAAATTCACTTTGTTGAGGTTGGATTGAATGGAAGTCTCATGAAAAATGTTAATCAGAGCTCAATTGGCAGTGGTTGGTCAATACCTTCAATTGAGATTTACCTTTTTTTTTTTTTTTTTTTTTTTAAAGTGATTTTTTTTGACTTTATTAATCTAATATCTATATATATTTTTTGGAGACTGGAAAATTTGAATTCCTTTTTAGCTGATCACAAAAGTTTTTTTTTAAAAAAATTACTAATAATAAAAATTAAAAAAGAGAAAATTTTCAGGCACAATAGTTTCTTTAATTTTTAAAAATAAATTATATATATATATATATATATGGGGAATATTGGGGGAATTACTAGGGGATTATTCAGGGCAGAGACGGGGCGAGGCCGAGGCTGGGGGAACCTATCCCCGTCCTCGGCCCGAAAATCGTCAGGGATTCAATTTTCAATACCATCCTCGGCCCTATGGGGGCTAATTTTCAAAAAAGAACCTGTTCTAATCGGGGTCGAGGGGTCGGGTCCCCGTCGAGTCAGGTTTAAATTGCTATCTCTAGTCTCGACCCCTCAAGCCATGGGTCGACAAATTTCTCTTGCTATATCAGCAATGTGGTCTCTAGGCGCTATGTTTGGTGCTAATTGAGCCACTATTTGGGGAGCAAACACTGGGTTTAGAGGAACCACTTGTGCTTGGAGTCCCATTGGTCCAGGCAAAGGCATATTTGGGATTAGTTGTCCCTATTGTGCCTGATAAGCCTGAGGATATGGCTGCCTCCTTTGGTCAGGTGCCTAGCCTACAAAGGTACTGCAAAAAAAACCACTGGAGAGGGAACATGCATTGTTTCTCTTCCAATTGCCTAAGGATATGACTGACTCCTTTGGGCAGGTGCCTGGCCTACAAAAAGTACTGCAAAAGGAACAGCTGGAGGGGGAACATGCATTGTTTTTCTTCCAATTGCAAGAATCCCATCCAACCCCCCAGGTGTAGCTTCGAACATGGGATTAGTATACGTTCTGCCATTCCCATGTGTTGATCCTACTCCACCAATATTTATGGATTCGCTAGTAGGTATAAATATAAACATGTTTGAAATTTAGTAGAACATGTCCAATTTTGGATAGTAAGGATGTCCAATATATATATTTTTATTAGTTAAGATCTCTCGATAAAATTTATATATGATCATATAAGAAAAATTTCAAAATTTGTATTCGAGCAATCCATTGGAACATAGTAGTAGAATCACCTCCACAACCACATCTGGCTAGTATGTTGACGTCAATTTTCAGTTCATTCGAAGGCCTCTGTGCCGAATCATTACCCGGCAATAAGGTTGGCCTTTCTTGGGCTCCTCCTCGTCTTCCGGCGAATGATGGGAAGGTGGACCACCGAAAGGACACTTCGCTGGCAATAACTAATAAGAGTCTGAGCAAAAGCAAGGAAGGAAATTCATCATCAGGACAACCGGCACTTGAGAGGAGACTGAGGTTAGCATTGGAGTTGGATAGCGTTCACTCTTTTGAAACTATCGTCTTATTTTGATATATTGATTCTCAAAAACAAATCTTGGAAATGGCGAAATGATTTTGAAACGAATAAAAAGTATTTATTAGCTAAACCCGTATTAATGATTTTTGTTTTCTTAGTCTAAATTGTTATACAATTATGAGGATCTTAATTTTGTTCATATATATTCAGGAACTTGGAGATGGATTACTAATATCATAGGTGAGTTCTGACAAACAATAGAAATGTAAAAACCAAACCAGACAAGAAACCGAACATAGTGTGATTGAGCAAAAAACAGTGTGCCACCTAAAACAAAAATTTATGTTTTCAACAAGGACATTTATGTTCTCTTTCACTAAACTACAGCAATTTGTGGTCACATACAATTTCCATCCTATAATCTCCTTCCTATGTTTCCAAACCTTTTGGCAACACCAAAAACAATCGCCTTACTCAGTAGGCCCCTATTAAGAGTACAAGCAAGGACAATAGCCCCTCCAAAAATCACAAGTTTTGGTATTATCAGACCCCCAGGGTTCTCAGGTGAACCGGGTACTTCAATCTCCGATGAATCTTCAGCACTTTCCAAGGATTTCAAGTATGCTGGATTAAGTTTTGTGTTGATCCCAGCCAAAATTGCAGACTGAGAGAGTGGTGCCCCAGATGATCTGGCCTTCTGGTAGGCACGTAAACCACGCTCGATGTTCTTGACAGTTCCCAACATCCCCTGCCTTACTGCAAATTTTGCAATTTCCTTTGGGACACCCACATCTTCATGATGGAAAAGTATCACCTCACAAGCACTTGGCAGTTCACTCCCTTTCTTTGACGCCACTGGTTCATTTACACCAAAAAAACCCCAAATTGTTGAAAATTCAACCTAACACAGTATAAAACTACACAGCATACTGAGGCATATACTCAATTTAGCAGTCTCTTAGCAATTTAAATAAAACGCTAAATGTACCTGCTTGAATGCACCAACTTGAATAGTAAATGTCGACACGTCTTGGTTTGTCCCGCCTTGGAACAGAAGCGCAGGGCACTCCCTGCTAGAGGAAAAAATAGATAGCCAGCTTAGAACTTTGAAAGATTATCAAGCTGGATAACTACAATGAAAAACCAAGAGTATACAGCAAAAATTTCCACTTGACATCAAAATCATTGTCTTGTGTATTCATTCACAGAAATTTATTCCAACTGTTTGTTGAAAGTAAAATGGTTCCTCTTATTCCATCCAAGATTGTTTGTTAATCTTCAAATGTGTTGAATCTTTCAGGACATGCATGACCTAGGCCTGTCAACGAATCGGATTTGAATTGGATCTGGCATAACCTGATTATAAAAAAGTTTGATCCGAATCCGAACCCATTATGATAAATCCAATAACAGATAATTCAAATCTAAATCAGGGCTATCCAGGTATCCGATCCAAACAATCGACTTGACCTAATTTATTATAAAACTTTATTTTTTTTAATTGGAATTTCAATTTCTTATTTTTTGGTTGTTGTTATTGGTGTTGCCCATTATTCTAAAAATATAGTTCTATGTATATACATACAAAAATTAAAGTACGAAAAATCAAATCGGATAAGATTTATCTAAATCCAATCCAACAATAATCAGATCAAACAGATTCAGATTTTAACGATTGACGAGTTGGAAATTTGTTAATGGATTCGGATTAAAAACAATCCGTTGATAGGATGACCATTTGGAGCTACCTCCTTCCCATTTTAGTGTCTTCAACTTGTACAAGCTTGACTCATCGTTCATTTTCCTTTAAATGTGCTCAAACTTCTGTCAACTAAACCACCTAGCTTGACCTTAAGTTTTACTCGAGATGAGCAGCTCTTGACAGAAGATATCATTACTCCTCAAGAAGTGCAATGTAAGTATATATTTTCCTTCACATACCTTTGTCACACAGTAATACGATCTTCCTGATTCCCATATTCGACGGCCTATTGTATACTCTCTGTCACTACAAAAAAATGGAAACTGTGGCAAATAACAGTTAGGAAAGATAAGTGTTTGTGGTCAAAACAATTGAATTATGACAACTAAACGTAATCTTAAGAGTCTCACCTTCCGGATCCAATGCACTACCATGGTTCCTGTGGTTTTGCATTCTTCTAAAGTAGCACAATGTACAATCATGTTGTCCCATTTCAATCGGAACTCATCATCCCAAAAGAAGTCTCTTAATTGTTCAGGGGTCGCATCCTCGTAGACAGTTCTTGTGCAATATTGAGAAGGACCGGTCTAATGTATATCCAAAATTAGACACCTTAGTGATATAAAAAAATGTATCCAAAATAACTTTAAAATGCCAATGATTGGTTAAGTGATAATAATTAGCTAGAACTTTAAATGGAGAAAGCCACACCTCTGGATCTCTTTGCCATGCTTGGTAGCTCATAGTGGGGGTACAATGGTCCATCATATGTTTCCAAGGGGGACCTCCATCTTTCCTCTCAACAAGATTGCATAAATGTTCTAAATCCTCTTCTGTCACCACAACGGACTGTTCTTTTTTCAGCTGCAATGAACTGGGCAAGTAACAATGCGCGGTCATGAGTTTTTTGCATAATTCTTTGAATTTTCATCTCTTCTCTTATGTTATGAATAAATCATGAACATACAAGTTTTGGCATATGTATAGATGTTCCATAAGGTCATCTTGGAGCTAAATTTGGGCATCAATCAATCAAGTAATTCCTAATTGCAGTCATTGAAACCGACACTAAAGTAGGACATTTTGAGGAAAATTGTTACGATTCTAACTTGTCTCACATTAGTAAAACAAGAGTTTGGCCATGTGAATATAAGCCTTTTTGGGCACTCCCATCTGGCAAACCGGTTTTCGAGGGTGAGTTGTACCTAAGCAGTTTCCATCATTTGGTATTAGATGGGGTGCAATTTTGTGATTCAGGCTGCAAAGGGGATGCCTATATACCACGCCGAGTATGGTCTGGATTAAGATATTTGCTAAAGTGTCGAATATTTGATAGGTGTGGTTTGAGCAGCAAAGGGGCCTATATACCACGCTGAGTATGGTCTGGATTAAGATACTTCCTAAATTGTTAAATACTAGTAATATGTAAGTGAAGCCGCTAGAAGGGAAAGAATCACAATCAAGTCAAGTGTTGAATACTGATAGGTGAGTGAAGCCTGTAGAAGGGAAAGAACTACTATCAAGTCACTGTTGAAATCGACTCTAAATTGAGGGTACCGCCATGTGAACATAAACCTCTTGAACACTATCTACTTGCAAGCCGATTTTTAAGGGCGAGTTCTATCTAACTAGTTTGAATCATTATATGAACTGAACAAATTCAAATTAACATCATATATAGTTTTGAACTCTTAACTACAAAAAATTACCTGCAATTGGTGTCTTCTTCGGTGAAAGGCAAAGAAATTTGGTCCTTATACAACCCATCTTTCATGGCAGTAGATTCAAACCTCGAAATCAAGCTCTGGGTCGAACCAAGACTACTTACAGGGGAAGAAATTACAACAGACGGTGAAGAAGACAGTGTCGAACGACTGAATTCGCCATTAATATCATGAACCCTAAAGTTCCACCATGTGGGTTTCCAAACCCATCCAACCAAAACCCCAGCAAGAAACGCAATACACGCAGCAACTACTAGAAACAACATCTCTTTCTATAAACACTTCCCCAATATAGTGATGGCTTCCAAAAATCCAAGCAAAAAAAAAAAAAAAAAACCCTAATCAACGCAGGGAACAAAGATAGAACTGCAATAAAAACCTCAGCAAAATTAAGCGGAGATTAAGAGAGAGAGAGGAATATGATGATATAGTCTCGAGTTTTTGAGAGACTAGGGGTATTGGGGGAGAGGATATGAGGAGGAAAAAGAGAGGAAGAGAACAAAGAAATAATAGTCTCTCTCTCTATATCCTCTACCTACCTCTGTTGTTCCGCCATAGCAACTTATAATAGTATCTCTCTCTCTCTCTCTCTCTCTCTCTCTCTGTCCGTGGGTGTTTGGAACGGATATGATATGACATGGAGGAAGCAGCAAAGCAAATGGTTTTGTGGTCGCCACAGTGTATGTGTCACTCTTATCCAAAATGGATCTGTGCCAAGCGCTTCCGGAATGTGCCAAGCTTTGGGATTGCTGGTCAACCTCATCTTGAATTCCTTCATTTTTACTCTATACTAGCCCACAACTCATATTGGACCATGCTGTTGGATCTGGGTCACACCAGCAACTATTGTGAGATTCGTGAGGAATTGTTTTTGAGTTTGTTTTGATGGGTGAAGTTGGAGATTAAAATTAAACCATTCCGTCTGTTTTGAGAATTTATTTGTTGAGTATATTATTTTTATAAAAAATAAATTGATCGGATAATGTCAGTTACGTGTTTAAATTAGTTTTATATGAATTATTTATTTTTTTATCATCTATTTTTTTTTTTTTTTATACAAAATTGATTTGAGCATGTAATTTTCATTATCCGATTAACTTAACCTTTTTTACAGAGATAATGTACTCGATGAAACCCTAAAATGTGAACAATTTCGATCATTGAAATTGGCCCAAAAAGTAGGCCTACGGAGCGGAGTCTTGATCTCTAACTAGAGATAAGCTAGAATCATTTTGATAGTCTAAATTGTTCATATTATAAGATTTGTTGAACATATCATTTATATAAAAAAAAATTAGATTAATGACGTATACGTAGTCCCACTATCATATTCCAATTATTTTTTACAAAATTATTGAAATTATGAGATCTATTTATTTTTTTACCAAAAAAATTGTGGTCTTGTAATAATGTTACAAATATCCTCATTAATTTGATTTTTTTTATAAATGATTCATAACACATAACTGTTGTGAGTCTATGGAGAATTATTCCAAATCTATTTCAATGATTACAAATGTTTATATTATAAAATCCATTGAGTATGTTATTTAAGTAAAAAATTAAGTTAATAAGGATTTCGAGCTGCTTGTGGGGTCACTTTTGATAGGCCAACGAGTGGGCCTAATGCAACAAGCTGAGATTAAGCCCTATATATGTTTTTATTTTATTTTTTCTTTCATTTTTTTTTGTATCTTGTGCGGGGTTTGTAGATTGGTTGACTTGACACCGTCCTTCATGGGCCGAGCCTCATTTGGGCCTTCGTTTTTGCTCCACGGTGAGTGACTCAATTTTCTCATCGCATCACTCGCGCTCCGTTCTGAAGGAAAACTACGCGCAAAATCACAAACGAAGAAGCTTATCATCATCTATCTCTGCAGGAATGACGAGACCACTCAGTTCGTTCCACAGCTACCCAGAAATGGTTTCTGTCTCAGCCATGTCCATAAACTCTTCTTCTTCTTCTTCTACTTCTACGTGTATTTCTTGTTCCATCTCTCGCGCCCTAAACCCTCCACCAAGAGCTCTTTCCACATCTCCTTCTACTTCTTGTTCATCTTTACATCACCATGGATGGTTATCTATCCCAAAATTGGCTCTTCAAAATTCAAATCTTATACTCTCACTATGCAACAGTACAAGCAACAACAACTCTTCCCTTAATCTTCTCACTGAAATGGGTAAGTAACTCTTAGAGGCCTAATCTCAAACACATTGTCTGCATAAACTTGCACATTACATCAATTATTTGACTATTGCTTGTTTTCTGTTTGTTTCCCTAGATGTGACTTTGTTCTCACTCTTCCGAGAAATCGGAATTGACGAGAGAGAAACTGAACTACTTTTGGAGAAAAACCCAGGTCTCAGATTCAGACCTTTTAATTTTATACGTGCTCGGATTCAATCTCTGCGGCAAATCGGAATCAGTGGATTCGCACTTTGTCGGATGATATTAAAGAACCCAGATTTACTTACAGAAAAAGAAGTTGATTCATTGATATGTTTTGTTCGGGATGATCTAGAAAACAAGATCGAACCTACCCAGCTCGAGCGGCTTTTTAACACGACAGAACCCAGATTCTTTCTGGGGTTTGAGCGAAAGGTTAGATTGTTTCTTCGTCATGGAATTACCCAAGACAAGCTTGTTCATGTTCTTAACAATGTCAATCTTATGAAAGCGTTGTGTCTCAAGTCAATTGAAGAAATTGAAAGAACAATCACTTATTTGAACCATTTTGGCGGCATTGATTTAATTGTTCGACGACCAGCTATTCTCAATTATGATCTGGACAGTCAGCTACTTCCGAGAATTGGGTTTCTCATTGAGCTTAGTGGGGGAGATGAGGATGCCACAGGAACTGTGTTGCGTAAACTCCCTGCAATTTTAGCGTACACTGCAGAACATTTAAAAGATCACGTTGAGTTCTTCAGATCGTTTGCTGGCTTAATTGATCAAGAAATTTTTAGGATTGTTCTTGTGTATCCAAATTTGTTTAGTGCTAGCAGGAAGAGGAAATTGCATCCTAGAATAGATTTTCTCAAGCAATGTGGGTTGAATTCCCATGATATCTTTAAATTCTTGATCAAAGCACCTTTGTTTCTAAGCCTTTCGTTTCGTGGGAACCTTGCGTACAAGCTGGTTTTTTTGGTGAAGATTGGGTATGAAAATAGAACGAAGGATTTGGCAATGGCAATGGGAGCTGTGACTAGATCCAGTTCCAAGAATTTGCAGGAGGTGATTGGGCTGTTCTTGAACTATGGGCTATCTTGCGATGACATTCTTGCCATGAGCAAGAAGCATCCCCAGATCCTGCAATACAATCATGAATCTTTGGAGGAGAAGATTGATTACTTGATTGATGAGATGGGTCGTGAAGTTGGAGAGCTATTGGCTTTTCCTGCATTTCTTGGTTACAAGCTTGATAGCAGGATTAAGCATAGGTATGAAGCAAAGAAGAAGATTTTGGGAGAAGGGATGTCCCTTAACAAGCTCTTGTGTGAATCAACCGAAAAATTTTCAATGGATAAGGAGAAGAAGAGAAGTCCAGTTTTGTGATTGACAATTGAATAGAAATGAAGGATGGATGAGCATACATGGTTAAATTTCTCAGTGTGTTAGTTTATTACATTGCATTCTTCAAGGCTTGCTTGAAGCTTTCTCTTACCAATTCGGTTGCACAAGAATATGAATATTTCTCAATTAGCTGGAGAGGAGACACTTGACAAAGCAATCACTGTTCACTTAAAATAGAGGAGTAAATAACTTCTTGAACTTCAAAATGATGGGAGGTAGTGTGGCAGAAAATCTACTCGGGTATTTTCTATCTAGCATTTTGAAATTATCTCAGGGATGGAACTGACTTTTTTGTGTGGTAGCCATTATTAAGAGAGGAAAAACCTCTGTTAAAATGTTTCCATAGTTATGTGGATTCAGTGATTTGGTTCTTTTTGTACTTAAATTGGATCAATAAACTGGAAACTTGTTGCAAAAACATTGGCAATGATTTCCTGAATTTTGAGTGTTTTCATGAAGCAATTATGGCATAGGAAAGATCATCAGCAGTGCCCTGTCTGTGGGTTCACTTGCATTACAAAACTAGTAGCCCTCTTATTGTTGGTTGCTTTTATGGAGGTTGGGTGGCTTGTACACTCTTCCAAGTTGTCTATCAAACTCTCTTTCAAGTTGAGTATGTGATGCTTTGTTGATTTGTTTATCTAGTGACACACCAAAAGAACTTCTTGTATGGCTACAAAGGTTTTGATTGAAAAAACAAGGAGCTTAGCTGAGATTGAGTGGTGTGAAATGTATGATAAGTCCTGGGTTTAAGTCTAGTTATCTTCTTACCTCTGATTGCTTACATAACTCACATCTCTCAAATTTACTGAGTTACAACTCATTGCTTGGCTTTGATGCTTCTATTTTGAGAAATCATGAATGCTTACATATCCATAGGACTTCATTTTTTTTTTGTTTTTTTCTTAAGTTTTAAATGAAATGTTACATCTCTATGCACTTAGTTTGAGTCAATTGTTTGGTTGTGAGATGACATTTTGGGGGTGGAGCATTGGGAATAAAGGTAATTTTGGTATTAAGAGAAAAAATTACTAATGTAACAGAATCCTGTTATAATCTCTAAACTCTAATGGACAGATGACAAAGCAAGTTAAGAAAGATGGTGTAATTTAAAAAATCAAAGGAAAGGTCTGTGTCAGAAACTTCAGAGTAGCGCCTGTGTAATTAGCCTAATAAATATATATATCAATTTTTAAATTTATTAATAAACACGTTTAAAACATGAACAAAATTCTAAAGAAAATATGCAACAACCTAACTAACTATAGCTTTTTTTGGTACGTGCCTAATTAAATATAACAAACATGTGTTGAAAAGACAAAATGTTGAACATATATGTTGGATATGTGTTAGGTAGAGAGTGTTAATTAAAGCCTAAATGCTTGAAAGATTTAAGCTTTCGTGGCCAGATAAAATAACTTAATTTAATGTGAACCATTCATAGAGTTCGAGCTTTGAGAACAAATGAAAGTGAAAGCACAAACATATGAAAAATTTGAAGTGGACAAAATTCTGTTATAGAATTGAGTACAACTCTTTTTATGTAAGGTAAGACTTATTAAATATACGAGTCTCACCTTTTAAGAGAATTGTATTCAATTATTTGATCAAATTTTGTAAACGTAGAACAATTGGTTTAAGATGTAACTATATAATGTGGTGCATAATGGTGAGAGTACAGAAGCTATCAAATATATTTAGCAATTTCCTCTTGTTAAAAAAAAAATCATATTTGACAAGCATTGCTGCATCAAGAACAGCATTAATAATTACAGCACTACAACCATTTTATTAAGGACAAATGAAGTAGATCCAACTTTAGAAATGTGACAATCTTCTAATGGAATTTTCATCTCTTGTATGAAGTTACAAGTTTCTTAATGAATGGTGGTGCCCTATCATGAAATTTTTGAAGTAAAACAACTTCTTGATTCGCCTAGCAGGAACAATTAGGTCTCGAACGTGATTCATGATCAAATCTTTAAAAGCACAATCAAAATCAACTTGTCATATAAAAAAGACAAGTTTAAACATATTTTGAAACTCTTTTGTTGTTTGAGCTTAACCGGTAATCTTATATTTAAGGTGTGTTTAGGAAGAAAGATTTTAGGCAAAAAGTCACTAAAAAATTTAAAAAGCAAAATAAAAACACATAAAAAAAATTAAAGATTCCTTTCACTCTCTCTATTTTTTGCATTTTTTTTTTCTTTTTTTGTAAAAAAATCAAAAATTCATTCTTAAACACTTCAAATTTTTTTATCTCGTATTTTAGTCAAACACCCATTAAAAAAAGCCACTTTCCAAAGTACAAAGGTTGAGCTTACATCTAGGCTCTAGTGGATTAGATCATCTAATGGAGTCCACTATTTGTGACAAGGTAGTAGGCCTATAGATATTATTGTCTCACTTATTTTTCATTACATTATTAGTTTGTGAACACCACATAATATCACATAATACTCTAAAAAATTTTAATAGTTAATTGAAAACACTATGCAACAACCTAATTAATTGGTGTTGTTTGGTGTAGTTTATAGAGTTGCTCATTAGTTTTTATTTATTTATTTGGAAGTTTGTATTAGTTTGTTTAGTACAATTTTCTGCTTACAACTAATGGATCTAACGTAACTTAAATAAGTAAAAAATAATAATTATTATCTAAAAATTGGAAAAGGGTGATTTTAACTCTTATTTTTTTTAATATAACCTTTGAACTTGAAAAAAAAAATTTAAGAAGTGACATGAGTTAAGATTACATGGGTTCACCTTTCTAGCAGATGAAAAGGTATGCCCCGTGACTACGATGACATGGGTTTATCTTTATAATGGATAATAAAGTATTTTATGTAATAGGTATGTCATGTGGCTAAGATGACATGAGTTCACCTTTCTAGCAGATGAGAAGGTATGCCATGTGACTAAGATGACATGGGTTTACCTTCATAGTGGATGAGAAAGTATTTTATGTAATAGGTATGGCATGTGGCTAAAATGACATGGGTTTACTTTTCTACTTATTAATTCACATTTAAGGGTTGTTTGTGATAATCTAAATAAGTAAATTTTTTAACTTTTTACGAAAAGATGTATAAAAAAATAAAGAAATGATATAATCCAAATAAGTGATTATGCTAAACAATCCTTCAATAAAACATAGGACTGAGACTTAATATGGCCTAGCACTCAACATCTCGAACTAAGTAAAAAGTGACTTTTCAAGAACAATTTGTCATACTCGTTACGTAAAATACTTTGAGTAAATTATACTCCTTTATATTGTATTTGGTTGAAAAATTTGAGAAAGAATCTATATATTACATAAGAAAAATGGGGTTTCTAACCCCCAAGCCTCCAATATTTCAATTTTAATTTTCTAATTTTCAATGGATAAGTAGAAGAAGAGAAGTCCAGTTTTGTGATTGAATAGTGAAGGATGGATGAGCATACATGGTTAAATTTTTCAGTGTGTCAATTTATTACATTGCATTCTTCAAGACTTGCTTGAAGCTTTCTCTAACCATTTCAGTTGCACAAGAATATGAATATTTCTCAATTAGCTGGAAAGGAGACACTCGACAAAGCAATCACTGTTCGCCTAAAATAGAGAAGTAGATAACTTCTTGAACTTCAAAAAGATGGGAGGCGGTGTGGCAGAAAATCTACTTGGGTATTTTCTATCTAGCATTTTTGAAATTATCTCAGGGACGGAATTGACTTTTTTGCGTGTTAAGAGGGAGGAAACCTCTGTAAAAATGTTTCCATAATTATGTGGATTCGTTGATTTGGTTCTTTTTGTACTTAAATTGGATCAATAAACTGGAAACTTGTTGCAAAAACATTGGCAATGATTTCCTGAATTTGCGTGTTTTCATGAAGCAATTATGGCATAGGAAAGATCATCAGCAGTGCCCTGTCTGTTGGTTCATTTGCATTGCAAAACTAGTATCCCTCTTATTGTTGATTGCTTTTATGGAGGTTGGGTGGCTTGTGCAGACTTCCAAGTTGTCTCTCAAACTCTCTTTCAAGATGAGTACGTGATGCTTCGTTGATTTGTTTATCTAGTGACACACCAAAAGAACATTTTGTATGGCTACAAAGGTTTTGATTGCAAAAACCAAGGAGCTTAGCTGAGATTGAGTGGTGCGAAGTGTATGATAAGTCCTGGGTTTAAGTCTTGTTATCTTCTTACCCCCGATTGCTTACATAACTCACATCTCTCAACTCAAATTAACTGAGTTACAACTCATTGCTTGCCTTTGATGCTTCTATTTTGAGAAATCATGAATGCTTACATAGTCCATAGGACTTTTCTTATTTTTAATTTTATTTTTAAGTTTTAAATTAAATGTTGCATCTCTATGCACTTGGTTTGAGTTTAGTGTTTGGTTGTGAGAAAACATTTTGGGGGTGAAGTATTGGGAATACGGGTAATTTTGATATTAAGAGACAAAAAATTACTAATGTAACAGCATTCTATTATCACCTCTAATGGACAAATGACAAAAAATATGCATATACGTTCAGCAAAAGTAAAAAAGATAGTGTAATTTAAAAAATCAGAGGAAAGATTGATATATCAAAAATTTCAGAAGAGGTCTGTGTAATTAGCCTAATAAATATATATCAATTTTTAAATTTATTAATAAACACGTTTAAAATGTAAACAAAATTCTCAAGAAAATGTGCAAGAGTCTAACTAACTACAACTTTTTTTGGTATGTGCCTAATTAAATATAGCAAACATGTGTTGAAAAGACAAAATGTTGAACATATATGTTGGATGTGTGTTTGGTAGAGGGTGTTAATTAAAGCCTAAATGCTTGAAAGATGTAAGCTTTCGTGGCTAGATAAAACAACTTAATTTAAGGCGAACCATATAGAGTTCTAGCATTGAGAACAAATGAAAGTGAAAGCACAAACATATGAAAAATTTGAAGTGGACAAAATTCTATTATAGAATTGAATACAATGCTTTTTATGTAAAGTATGATTCATTAAATATATAAGTCTCACTCTTTTAAGAGAATTGTATTCAATTATATGATCAATTTTTTTAGACGGAGAATAATTGATTTAAGATTTAACTCTTGTCTATAAAGCGGTGCATCATAGTGGGAGTACAATCTTGAACGGCAATTTCCTCTTCTTCAAAAAAAAATTCATATTTGACAAGCATTGCAGCATCAAGAACAACCACTACGCCAAAATTGGGCTTTAGCGGCGATTTTTTATCGCCGTTAAAAAATGTAAAACCGTTGTTAAAGCCTTAACGACAGTAATTTAGGACCGCCGTTTATACTCGTGTCGGAAAAGGTAAACCGTTGTAAAAGGATAAATTGCCGTTGTTAAAAGTTGACAAAAAACGACAGTAATATAGAACTAAAAACGGCGATTCTTTACCGCCGTAAATAGGTTCAAATCTTTTAAAAAATAATTCTCTCTTCTTGCACCCCCAAGTCTTAAACCCTTGACCTCTAATCTAAGCATGCCAACCACTCCATCACAGCCACTTTATATAAAATATATTCCCTAAATAAGTATTTAAACATTACTTTTGCTTTATTGTAGATGGTCATATTCAACCTCTAGTCGCGCGTGGTCACCACTCGCCGGAGT